TAGGGGACCTAATCAATGAAATCAGCTGGTATAGTGTTTGGTTGGAACAAAAAATTGCACACTCTTGACCGAACACGGGGAGCACCACAGTTAAGACTGTCGGTTGTTAATCCTGATCCTCAAGAATCAAACTGCTACAACTGTTGTTTTTCCGGTTTTCCAGCTATGCAATAGTCATTGATTTGATGACTAGACTGAAAACCAACAGCAGGGTCCTGATGACCACAAACTACAGACCACTAGGTCTGATTATCCTGTTAATTGCCTGACAACCTGAAGGTTGTTATGCATCCATTTTGTATACTGTAACATTGAATGAGAAATGATATTCAAAATATTGTCAGGGAAAAAGGTTTCTCCCCTGGGTGCATTAATCTGTTGTCTATTGTCATACTGCCATTTACAAATAAATGCATCTGGTCAGTATGGTCCTTATTCAATACATCATTTAAACATTCACAAAGTAGACTGGAAAAAGTATATAAACCCCTTGGCTAATGGACAAAGGTTAATTGGAGGCAACAAAACCTAGAATCCAATCAGTGAACCAAGAATGGCGGCGTGAGTTAGAGCTACTTCGACTTATAAAAAGAAAGAGCCTGCAGATGTGAACAGTGCCTTGCAAAAACATAGCTCAGAAAACTTACAATCAGGAATTGCTGTTTTACATAAAGCTACTGTAGAAGTACAGTAATCTCAGGGAGAGTGTTTAATGCCATGGCTGCTCTCCAAAGACACAACACAGAATGCTCAGGGGAGGTTAAAAAAAAGAAGCCTAGAGTAACAACTAAAGACTTAAAGGAAGCACTGGAGCTGGTTAACATCTCTGTTCATGAGTCTGTTACATAGACGTTCACGGAGGAGGCCAGCAACCTGAATAATTCTATTACAGAATGACTTCAAAACAAGAAAATTTTCCACTTGGAGTGTCCCAGTCAGAGCCTGGCCCTTGACCAAACAGAGATACTGTGGAATGACCTCAGAGAACCATTCACACCAGACAGCTTATATGTCTGAAATGAAGCATTTTTTTAAGAAAGAATGGTCCAAAATTCCTCCTGGACATGGTGCAGGTCTGTTCCACAGCTGCTGAAAATGCCTTTGTTTGAGGCTCAACCAGTTATTAAATCCAGCAATGTGAATGTTTAATGTGTGTGCCAACAAAGAGACAACATATTATAATTGTTTGTGTGTCATTAGCTGAAGCACATTGTGTTTGTTTGTGCTACATCAAATGGCATTAAAATTTTCAGGGGACAAAACCACCACCGTTCTTTTTACATACAGTATAGCTGCAGATCTGCTAAAAACAACAAACGTGCAGTATGTTGAGATGGATTTGGTTGTCAGATTTTTAACAACATGACCTTACTATAATTCTTCCCACTTCCAAAGGCTCAAACATTCACCACGATGTCTGTCTCTTCCTTCACTTGTGGGCAGAAGCAAATGGTCCACTGTGGCCACCTTTTCAACTCAAAAATCAAATTCTTGATATTAAGGAACATCAAACTATGTATTTCTGACTAAATCATGTCAGAGAAGAAACACTTATTGCAATCTCAAACTCATTTCACAGGGTCCGTAAAGACACGGGCTAAAAAGCTGCTCAGTGCTGTCTAGCATTTACACTTCTGCCCAGCTCTTGTGTAACACAACACTTCACAAAATACAGCAAGACATCAAACTTGAACTCATGGAAGTCAGTGCAGCGATGCTTTTTCTTCACGTACAATTTTGTCTAGTGTTAAAGATCCCATGGCATGCTTTTCCTTGTTTTCAAATTAATTAATGCCGTCGTGGTTCGCTGTGTTGTCCACTTTCAACACAACACCGGCCACGGAAGGTGTGCGCGTTCACGAACTATCCTCTCATTTTTAGGAAGAGGCTTTCTGGTTTTATCGCTCTGAAATAATTACAGACTCTTTGGAGTTATGAGGTGTGCAAAGCTAATGTAGAGGTACCCAAGATTAAAGATTAAATGGCTGGAAATGAGCATGCCATGGCCACTTTAAGTACAAATTTAAGGTACTGGTACTGTACTTAGGTATTTCCATTTTATACTGCTTTATTCTTCTACTCCAAATGCTACTTACATTGCTAATACAATAATATATATTGTTATACATAACAATTTATCACTCAACAGTATACAGAGGCCAGTTTTTCCTGTAGTAATAATTGAAGGTACTTTTGATACTTGGTGATCACTTTGAGTAGGTCTTATGTAATTTTACTTAAGTGAAGTATTCAGTGTAGGACTTATTTGTAATAGCTTTATACTGCAACACTGCTACATTTTTTTTTATCAATCCCTGTCAGATTCCTTAAGTTATAACACTTAACTATGTATTGAGCATTAATTTGTCTCTGAGTCGCTGTTGTTCCAAAGCTAAATTCTGGACAACTTGTGTGGTTCTGATAAACTGGAGCTGTAAGAAAACCTGAGTTGGACATGTACACCATTGTGGTAAATGCTACTGTGACAATAGAACAGTTATCATCAAGATCAAAATGCCACTGAAAGAAGTGTTTAACAAAATGTGGATTTGAGCAGAAGCACCGAAATAGAGCTGAGACTTGACATACAGTGCAGCTCTCAGCATAAAACATAAATGCCATACTGAAAAAATACCTGAAAAAATTAAATAAAATTAAATGAAATACAATAATAGTCCAAGTCTTAAACTAAAATGTCAAACTAGAGCAGATGGGGAAGAGAGTTGTAATATACCATATGTATGTAATATTTCACTGGGTACTGGCATATCCAAAGCCTCTGTTGTAATGTATGTGTAGTAACACACTGCGTATTTTTGTTACCCTGGTGTTAGCACTGAATAATTAGGTGTTAACCTAAATATTACATTAAATTCAGGCTGGTATTGGACAAGACCTGACAGACATTATTGCTTAAATAAGTGTTAAAGGAGGAAAGCACAACGATTACTTCAATATGATGACAGCAATGGCACCCCCAACACGGGAGCGGCGCAATGGGAGCCTTTAAAAAAGCCCTTATATTTAAGGCGTAACACATTTGAGTAGAAGTTTGAAGGTAGTGTTCTCAGGAAAGCAACTTATTAAGCTATTGAAACAAGATGCTATGATGGTTGTTATTCCGTTATATGAATCACTGAATTTATATAAGTAATACAGACAATGAGTATAAAATCTGATGTGTATTGTTTGGTAATTGTATCAGAACTTTAGTTCAGACATTTTTGCATCCATAATTCTTTTTTTTTATTCTTTAGAATACAGATACAAGTAGAATTAAAGCCACTTGTAGAATCTTTGGCCACTTACAATCTTCATTTCAAGGCTATGACGTAAAAAAATGGAAGATACTTGCAAATAATATAAAATGTGATGTGCTGCACAGAAATGAAACTTTTGTTATCAGTGAATAATTGCTTACACAACCCACACACTTGATTTTACTGTCGATGATGGATTTGAATTGCAATTGATAAATAACAATTCCTTGGCTGACCTCATGTGGATATCATAAACTGATGAGTTTCACTTCAGGTCAGCCAAGAAATTAGTTGCCTTTCTATTAATATTAACCAGTGTAGCCTGAAATTCCTCTCTGCTGTACAGCCTTTTTAGTGTAGCACCCCAAGCTTTTCACTGGCCTCATCTGGCCCCCCTACTAAATATTTTCTGCAGGTGCCACTGGGTGACTGCTCATATAATTTATTGCCTTACCCATACTCATGCCCTATAAAGTTGAAATAATGATGAAATTTGAGCTCACTGTGCATGTTTTGTGCCATTTTCAACTCCTTATACTATTTCATGACTCCAGTATATTGTATGCATCAATTAACAACTCAAAAATGTTGCTATTCACTTTATGTTGGTCTTCACCCAGTCAATGTTTCAAAGCTGCCAGTAACACCAGTCAGTCCCACAGAGGCTGTTAACAGTGGGGAGTCCTGCTCTGTCTGCCGCTATAAGCGACTGATGTCTTATTAGAAGGACAGCTGTACTCTGCCAGAGGACATTATGGAGACTGGGATGGTAATGGCATATCTTTTAATAGTTATGCTGATCAAATTCATGCAGTTAAAAGGCAGCTTCTCTGTGAACTAAATCCAATTATGTGAGGAGCACAGCAGAACACCCTAGTGAAAACCAAATGATCGATGACATGTAGTTTTTAAAATCTATAGTACCACGGTAGAGAAGAGAGATGCTATTAATGTTTTGGTGTAATCACTTTCATAATCTGAACAGTGTTCTACAAATAGCATAAAAGCAAAGTCAAAAAAGCGTGGCAGTAAAGCCATCACAGCTAAATCCATGAATTTTTTCTTATTTCTAATTAATTTTGATCTAGCTCATGGATTTACAAAGATCAAAGCAGCTCTGTCTCTTGCCATCAAACAGCAAAACACCCTACATCAGAGTTCAGACAAGCCTATTAGCATCCAACTGGGATCTGTTTGCAGACGGTCAAGCTAGTAAGCCAAATCCATTCGGTCATGTTTAAACTGTGAAATATCATGATTTTTTTCACTGTTCAGATAAGAAAACATGGCTGTTGACTTTCTGCATAACAGGAAAACCAATAATACTATTGTTTGTCATATTGTCTACTCTGTAAATACCCAGGATTCAAACACGAGATGTACTTCAGGGGTAGCAGGAGTTGGTTGTTCTCAATTCAGATAATTCAAAACAAAATGACAAAACACGTTGGTCTGTTTGCATTGGATTCCATAAGCATATCAAAACAGTGGCTAGCAAAGCCTCAGTGGGCCAAACTGCTCCAGACTAACGAAGGGAATGGAATAAAATGTCCAGCAATGCTTTGATTCGAGTGGGACCAGAATGAAGAGCATGACACTGTTGAGACCATTTTCACTAACAAGTTGGATTTCATTCCCTTCAATCTCCTACAAAAACTGCACGGCTCCTAACAAGCATCATTGTTCTAAACTGCCCAACATGGGCCTGAGGCTACAGGCTAGCTGGGTGCATCAACTCACCTCCTTCTCTCCACAGATATTGCTGATGATGGAGTTGGAGGCCGGGCTGGCGGAGGGACCAAGGACTGCCACCACCCCTTTAGACATGATCTGGCACACTGAGAAAAAACAAAGAGAGGATAGAGGGGAAAAATAAAAGTTGAGGGGTGAGAAGCAAACAGAGAAAGCGAGCAACACAGTCAGTCAGTTGATGCTATCCAGAAAAGTAAAGTACAGCCTCTTCTGAAGAATCTGAGCCAATGTTTCTGCTGTCTCAAGGGAACCTGAACCTACATGCGTTGGTTAAAAGTGTGCAAAAACTGAATGTATTTGTCCACGTTTAATATGCCAAACATGAAGCACATCCTATAGCGTCTGCCCATGAGAGCTTGTGGGAGAAACTGATAGTTATAAAAGATTTTCACATATGAGGGCAGGAAGATATTGAAATGGGAAGGCAGATAAACAAAGTGAGAGACAGTGGGGGAAACAGAGAGACAGGAACAGTAACAGGCAGCAATATCTGCAGGCTTAAAACATAAAATCCAGTATTTAAACATGAAAGCTATGATATCCCCAAACGTGACACACACACACACACACACAACACACACACACACACACACACCCCTCATCTTGTTTTCCACATTCCACTTCCCAAGGACTGACTTAAAGGTTTCACCTTTGTGGATGAAAACATATCTTCAGCTGGAGACATTTTATTAGTTTTACTGCTCTAATGTACACAGGCCTTATGCTTTCAGTATCCTGCAGAACAGATTTCTATTTCTTCTAATTAAACCTCTCCACTCAATGATGTGAGGCAGACACAATGTACTGTTCATGTGTGAGCATGTGTGTGCAAGGTTTGTGTGCATGATAATAATTTAGTGTTGGCTATTGGAAAATGCAGAGCATTAACCAGCCATGTGTGTGAAAGAGGCAAAGGGGAACCATTTTCGGACCCAAGCAGTGAATCCAGAGGCAGCGAAATGAATTATTAATAAGTAATCCCTTAGTCACCCATGGGGGAGGGTGGGAAGGGTGAATGTAAGACACAAACAGACTTTAAGCAAAGATTTGTACAGGATGCACACATTTACAGTACATGCACACGTACACACAGACACACACCATTGCACCCGTCTGCATGGTTTCACCAAATTATAAAGCTGAATGAGTTGTCTGCCAGCCAACATGCTCCTGGCCCTCATGACACTTTCATTTGCTCCTTTTCTGCACAGCTAGCGTTGTGTGTGTGTGTATATATATGTATGCGTGTGTGTGTGTGTCAGAGTTTATATACGCTGTATCAGAGCTCTGCCTCCTCACCACAGTTTTTTCGTTGCCCCTTGGACCACTGAAATCAGTGCCAAGGTGTCCATTAGCGGCAGGAATTGTCAGAACAGTACTGTGCTGCTAACTGAGGTCAAATCATGGTCACAAGGTTGGCTAAAGTCCACCTTCCCTGCTTAATATTGATTTTCTCTGATCAATACAAGTTATAGGAAGGACAAATGAGCAAGGACAGGCATACAGGGAACAAGTCAACGGTATAGAGTACCTGTATGTTTCATGGGAAACAAATGACAGCTGCACAACGTGCATGCGTACACACAAACAGGCACAACATGCCAGTCACAGCCAAATTCATTCGGCTGCAGGTCATAGCACTTAAAAAATAATAAATAAAACTTTCTTGGAATAAAGCCATCTTCAGTTGCCATTATTTTCCAGTTGTGGAAGGTGACTAAGTACATTTACTCAAACTCATTACTGTACTTAAGTACAGGTATCTGTACTTTACTCAAGTATTTTCATTTTGCGCTACTTCATACCTTAACTTAACAGGATTTTAGAAACAAATATTATACTTTTTTACTCCACTACATTTATTTTATAGTTTTAGTTACTAGTTATTTTTCAAAATTTGATTAATAAAGCATACAGTATAACACACAGCAGAACTGATCTCTGGTTTGTCTAATATAAATACTGATCCCTGGTGAGAAATTCACAAGCTACCCAGCAGTAATGCAGATTATAAGCATATAAGCTAATTAACATTAGCTCACCCTTTACCAGCTGCAACATTAAAGTGATAACACATCAATAATTATAATCCAAAAATATGATATACAGTACATGTGGCACTTTAAGTATATTTTGATTCTAATTCTTTTGTACATTTACTTAAGTAACATTTTGAATGCAGGACTTTCACTATTGTATTGCTACTTTTACTTAAGTAAAGGATCTGAGTACTTCCTCTACCACCGTCAGTTTCCTGAGGTACGCACACACACAGTAGCACTAAAGCTAATCGCTTATGCGTGTTATGTGGCTTTATATGCAATGAAAGAACAGCTGTTTGTGAACTGGAGGCTTGTTATGTGGTGCTGTCTGCCTTTAAAACAAGTCCAGTGTGGCACCCGTTTAGGAGCTCTATCGACATGCAGGAGTGGGTGTATGAAAGGTGGAGGTGGGACTCTCCTGGGCAGGTAGCGCTCCCTCTGTGATATTTCCATTTAAGTTCGGCCACAGAGCTGTTCCTCATCTCATTCCTGCCTCTAATTACACCCACGCTTTGAGCCACAGAACATATTCACAAGATAAACACAATCAAACATGCACACATGAATACACAAGGAGAAAACAAAGCACTCATTCAAACAAAGATACACAGAGGAGAAACCACGCAGAGGAAAGGTTTGTAGTAAACCAGGCAGACAAAGTAATACAGATTCCTGTTGTTGTAAAAGAAGCAGTCGTTCAATAGATTAAGCAGTTATGTTTGTCAAAGGGTTGTATTGAAAATCAATCCTCAGACTTTTTGTCATAGTTGTTTATATCGGTTGTTTCCTGCAGACACAAACTGTGCTGTATTGATTTCAGATAGTTTTCATTAAAATTTTGAAAACATCTACCAGTACATACTGAGGTGTGAGGCAACGAGTCGTCACACAGTAAACTGACTCACTTGAATTAATGGAGCCACCTGCAGTGTATTTGTCACATCTGTGTGACAACTTACTGGAAATCTCATAACAGGCCTTTAAAAAGGTCCATAAGCCTTTCTGTTGAAGGTCATTTCTGCCTTGACACAGATTAAGTGATTTTTACATAACAATACTGATAGCTGCCACAATATAAAAGAACAAAATACAACCCAGCAGCAGCCAGACACAAACACACCTTTTGACTCCCGCAGCTATCAAAACATGACAGCTCATTTTGCGTTCCTGCACTGGCACCAGGCTGTCATCTGTTTTCAATAATTTGTTTGGATCAGTTTGACCAAAATATTGTTAAACCAGACAGATTTGTCTCTGTACTTGGGAGGAAGAGTGTGAGAGAGTGAGAAAAAAAACCCCAGCAGGCCTGAAATGAAATGACAGGCTTGCTGATCTAAAAATGAGTGACACTTTGGGTGGTGCGATTGCTGACTGGACCCAGCGGTGCCTCACATTTATTACTTTCTTTTTCTCTGACTCCACACATAGAGACACAACCAACAGATTCACACTCACATATACAATCACACAATCTCTGTTGTTTCCTCGACAAATTAATTGGCATTTCTTCTCTGGTTTACTTACTTGTTTCCCCCATTTCATATTCACTGTCTCTTAGCAGTTCAAAGATGTCCACCTCCAGCTTGCCAGTGGTGGAGCGGTTACTGTTCCTGTTGATGCTGTCTTTGGCCAGCGTGATGGCCAGACGCTCTCCCCTGCTGCACTCCATGGGGTCATCAAGGATGGCAGCTGAGGACAAGGAAACGGAAAACGGTGACGGGTTGTGAGTGTGAGAGAAAAGAAAAAGGAGATAATTATCTACAGAGATAAGAGAGCAATGAAAGCCAAGGTGGCCCATTTGGCCAATTATCATTCAATCTGACAACCTGTAAAGACAGATCATATAATTAAAGCCTGTTGTTTTTTTTTGTTTTTTTTATCTACAAGAAAGGTTCACTCCGGTAAAGCTGTTCCCAAGGTGTATAGATTTATTAGCAACAATACTTGTGACATTTTGTGCACACTGTTCTCCATTAATCTAGAGTGCCTGCAGTGCTGCAGTACTGTTCTTAATAAATCCATACACACTGGAAGCCGCTTTCATACGTTCGTTCTAAAAAGGTGGGAGCTTTTTAATATAAATATCCCATCTGTACAAAAGCTTAAGAATCTTTCACTTGATCTAGAGTACTGTCAAAAACATTGAAAAAAATATAACCTTGTATTATAGTATATTATTTAAGACAGCAGAAACATTCAAAACAACTTTGAAAAAAGGCACAGTAAAGACGTAAAACTCCGGTTTTGTGCGTTCTCAAAATACATTACGTCAATAACATGTTAAAAAGACATTTTTGTAAACTAAGTGTATTCATGTCAAATTGACAGAAACAAACAAAAAATATATAATTTGTTTGCTGTGTTATCATAAAAGACAGAATTTTTATAAGTACTGAATAAATAGTCTGTGTTATATTTTTGATTATTCACTTTTTCCAGGTGTTATGCCTGACCCCAGCTACTCTATACTACATCACGACTCATGTCCAAGATCTCCGTAGACCCTGGCCGTTACTGAAATGTAATCATTAAAAAGTTTCACTTTAAATGTTTAATCATGTTTTAATTGCATTAGCAGGCTGCAGGAACAACCAACATTTAAACTATATGAAGTATAACATACCTCAATAGGTCTATGCTCAGGGTAGAAAGGAAAACAATTAAAGGAGTAGCAGATGACTTAAAGCAGGCTTTGCAATTAATATAATTATAGTGGGTTAACGCAAAGGTTCTCAAGTTAAATTGATTACAGTTACAGCTAAAGCAGAAGCAATAAAAATAACCTTGCCAGTAATGAGCAAAATTAATAAGGCACAAAAAATACAATTAAGTACAACTTGGCTGAAAGGTAAATGTACTGTAGACTCTATTAAACAGAACAATGGCAGGTTGAATCTTATAATTCCAAGCCCTGACTTCTAACTGACAATAACTTAATATGATCACTAGTATGTTATTTGGATAGCTTCCTAAAATCAAAGACACACATTCATTTAAATTTTTATGTAAAAGGGGCAAAGATTATGTCTCAGCAAGCAAGAGTGAATTTGAGTTGTATTTAATGTCTTGTGTTAAGTGTGTGAAACACTCTTTTGAAATCAAGCATGCAAGTTTAAGTTCAGTTTCATTATAGTCTGACACTTTCAGTAGACTGTTATTCTTGGCTTTATTGTGAAAAAAAAAGTCTCAGCCATCATGAAGACACTTCTTATACAGCAATGACATCAGCATTCAACACTATTAAGCATGGTTCTCACAGAGTTTTCAAATCCCTCACAGTGAACAGGGTTGTGAAATGTCATTCTTTACAAGTTTTAGATTTTTTTAAAACTCAAATATAAACTCATTCAGCTTTCTAGACTTCTACACAAAACTCCTGTGATGGAGACTGAAGCATGTTGAACAGTTTACAGTGATTGGTCTCACCATGGTTTCTTGATGAAATCATGACGTCTTTTGTCACATCTCACACCCAAAGAGCACCATTGCATCTTAAAACTGCTACAATCAATATTTTTGCATTAAGTAGATCGATTGACTACATGTACAGTACCGTGTAAAAAAAACGGGTTGTAGTAACATAGAGAATTACCAACCAGCGCTGCAGTCCCCCTTAGCTCTGTGAAGTCCGTCTGTTTCGGTTTTATGGTTCATGGCTTTACTGTTTTGTTTCACTCTCACTGCTCTTATCAGCACTTTCAGACACAGCAAGCAATGCGCCTTAGTGAACAGGCTATAAGAACCCTCTACGCTACCTGTTTAACATCAACCTAGTAGTGAAGCATTTAGCAGCTAAAATTGAGATATTTTCAGATATCTGGCAATGACAGTGGAAACAGCTTTTTATGGCATTAGAATATACTGCATCACCTTTTAATAGCTTGATTTCCAAGGCTGTGCAAAAAATACAAATATCACTACAATTTCAAAAATTGTAATAGTATAAATGAAATGCCTTGTTGCTCTGTGCAATCTTTCAACTCAACATAGTGAATGAAGCTTTTAATACTGACATGTATTGGTCTCACAGGAGTCGACGTTTGGGAGTGGTGAATACATGGCAGATAGCAAACAAGAAAGGCCGTTTTCCATCAGGGAAAACATGAGCTGGGCCTTGATCCATCAAAACCAATCAATGAGTAGACCGAAGGTATGCTGAGGCGTAAGAGGCTAGGGACTGTGGAAAAGGGGCTCACTGAAAGGTTGGTATAAAACGAGAATTCCTATAAAGGTATGCAGCACAGGAAAGAGCTCTCAAGAGGTCTTTTAGAATGTCTCACAGATCTGAATCCTTATGTAAATGTTAACCTCAGGCTGATTTAATCATAACACTCCAAGTATACTAATCCTGTAAAAAGAAATTCATAAAATGCTAAAATAAACATATTACATTAATAGATTTAATGAATCACAGAAAAACATAGAAAAAAATGTATATGTATGTACCCTTATGTTCTCAATCTCAAAATCTGAATGATAGATGGGTTTATTTATTTTGTGTGTTTTTAAGGGAGCCGTGCAATAGTCGGATGTGTATGGATGCGAGTGTGTAATTTTGCTGGGTTTTTATTATTTATGATTATTTTATTATCGAAGGATTGCATTTTAATTTCGTTGTACAATGTACAATGACAATAAAGATACAGATAAAGATAATTAGTTATAGGGACAAACTAAAATTTAATTAAAATGCCCCTTTTCTACGGAGGATGGGGATCAATCCATATCAGAAGCTAAGGATATCGGCCTGGTTTTGTTAAGTTTTCTGTACACACAGCGTTGTTGTAAAAGGGCGGAAAACATACTCAGAAACCCACTCCACCCAGCTCACTCTCTGCTCAGACACAAAAACTGCACCTACAGCCTCAGGCACAGCAGGGCGGACAGTATCATCACACACAGGACTAGACTCTTCAACAGCTTTTTCCCTGCTGCAGTAAGACTGATGGCAAATACGAAAATGTGCAGAATATATGTGCAATAACCCCTTACTAGACATGCACAATAATAATACAGAAATGTTCCACAAGGTATTTTTGTAAGAGCATCTCATCAACAGTGTTTTCTTGTGGGACCTGAATAATAGCAGGACATTCTCTACCAAGCAATGGAAACAGGCCTGAATATAAACTGTGTTTTAGTATGTTATAACCCCTCACTACCTCACCAAGCGTAATGACATATCGAACTCCACCATGTGAATTACTAAGTGCGATGTTTGAAGTTCACTGGGGAAAATACTATTACCCTATTTTTGTGTATTGCGGTTTTAATGCTTTGTTGATTTTAAGACTAAGTGTTCTTTCTGGCCTTTGACTCCTTACCTGACACCAAAGGAGATCTGCACAAGAATTCCTATATGCCTAGACTGTTTGTTTATGCATAAATGGCAAATAAAAATCTTGACTTGACTTGACTTGATACCTTCACAACATTAAAGCAAGTCTGAAGCATGTCTTAGGGTGTCGGACACGACAATCAATCATTTTATCTCGTATAGTGTGTCATAGTAAACAACAACAACTGATGCTGCCTCTGGGACACCTCAAAATGCCCTGAAACTAAGTCTAGCATGTCAGAACCTTTTTTTTAAAAAATCATTTACGACATGTTGGCGCAATGCTGACCAACAGATTGCCGTTTCATTCACATCATTTTTGGCAAATTGGACTGAACCATATTCATTAAATATCACAGTGATATAGCTAATGTTAGCATATTGACTTTCACAATCAGCCTTGTGAAGTAGTTACCCTATCAGGGCTAGCTAGCTAGTTTTCTGTTTTACTACCATCTTAAAGCACTACCTCAAGCTCTCTGTGAAGGATAGACAACACATATGTTGGCTACCAGCGTGTAGTCTGTCATATGCCTCGTCAAAGAATGTATGATTTTGTAATCATGTAATCTGACAGTGATCATCTTATCAGACAAAAAATGGCGTAGTCTGAACCAGGCATAAGTCTGTGTTTAATTTTAATGCTTGTAATTCTGGGATTAATATGTATACAGCCTACAGTTTACAATGCATCTGGTGTGGACTGCTGGTTTGGTAGTGTTTGCTATTGTGCTGAGCTGTTGGAGAGAGATGCTTGTTTTATCTGAAAGATGTGATGAAGTATAAATGAAGTGAATTAATGTACAGTACATTCATTGTGGTGATGATTGACTTAGCTGTTTCACGCTGTGTAAATACATCGCTTGTAGTGGTGGTGGAAAAGGGTCGATGGCAGACCAAGCTCAGTGGCCTATGACAGGGTTAATTGACAGGGAGATCTGTGAAGTGTGTGTTTTGGAGGAAAACCAAACAACTGCTGCTAAATGTATACCATCTGGACCTCAACCTGTGTCAAGGATCCTGTGATGTAACTGCTGTTGTAGTACTCAAGATGAAGGTCCAAACACAGGTTCGCATTGCCTTAAGATGGGCACACACGCAATGACAGGCTGAAACCTAAGACTGGATGAGTCACACTTAAGGACTGTTTCCACCAACTTGTGCGGATTTATAGTGCTCGGCAGTTGGAAAGGAGCACACACCTAACGGCTGAGTAAACTCAGTGGATAACACACTGAATGACTGTTCAGTGTGTGTGTGTGCTCCAGTCATATCTGATTGCATTTGATACGCTTGCTGTCCTAGATTTGGGAAGCACCTGACTCAGATGCATATTACTGGAAGATGTGCA